TCGCTCTAAAAACGGAAAGCCGCAATTACCGCACCCCCCACCCCCCAACCCACCCCCCTACGATGGATCTATCCCCACCCCACCTCGACCCCGCTGTCCTCGCTGATCCCACACCCCGTTGGATCCCACGGGCCGCCGCCGCGCATGCCGCTCCCCATCCCCATCCCCGCACCCCGCACCACTGTCGCCCTCTCCCCTCGCGCGCTTCCACGCTCGCGCCACCGTCGGCGGGTCGACACGGCTGAGGTGGAGGCGCTTGCCGTAGGCGGGAGCTCCGAGAAGGCCAGCAAGTCCAACGCGAGTGAGGCAAGCCACCAGGGCGAGGGCGTCAGCCACCAGGCGGGGCAAGGGCGCCTTCCAGGCCGCCGCCGACCACCAGGCCACCAGGCGATGGATCGCCTCCGCCTTAGATCCAACCCCACCGATGCGAAGGCACAGCAGCTAGGGTTTCAATCATCCGTGAGAAGGAGAGCGAAAAACGGCGGCAGAGCATGGGAGCCCCTACGGGCGTGCGGCCACACCCTGGCGGCGCGCGGGAGGGCACGCGACCACACCCGACGGCGTGCGGGACGGGGAGCGTGGTGTGGGCTCGGAGCGCGGTGGCCACCATCCTCGCCATCGTGGACGCCATCCCCTCCGCCATGGCTCTCCATCCCTGCTGTGCGATCTAGATCCAGGTCCGTTCTCTCTCCCTCCCTCCCCGTAGCTCCTAAATCCGTCCGCTTAGGTGTAGTTGATTTCTCCATGGACGAAAATCTAATCCAATCTGTCGGTTTCTATTCATTCATTTTGCTTCTGATTTGTTGCCCTGGTGGCTTATAGTTAATTAATTGCTGCTTCCGTATAAAGAATATGCTTGATGGATGGAGCCTGATTGGATTGTGCGGAACTGCGGGTGCTTGGGCATATATGGATGAAATGAAAGGCAGAGCACAGTAGATTGGAGCTGGCCTTGGCGCATAAGCACTAGAAAGAGTCACTGTGAAATTACAGGTAAAAGGTACCGGAGAAATTAATTTTATTTTAAACCTATTTAGATCACCTGGAGATCAACTTACTATTCTTAATTGGCACCGTTGCAGTTCTTTTAACTAATGCAGTTGCATGTGGGAGACATAACATTGCAGAATTAGTTTGTTAGAAACTGCGAGCACTATGCATAGATGTATTTAAAGAAAATATATTTAACTTTGTTTTTTCAACCATTCCTGTCTAAAAAGCATTCTGATACTTCCTTGGAGCCTACGAACTTAGGAACGACCAATTAGTTCGAATGTAAGGTCTAAACTGTAAGAAGCACTTTGCATTTTCAATGTACCTTGATCCAATTTGGTTAAAATATTGTGTTACTCAATTTTTGTTAGCACGGGCAATTTATGTTACTCAATTTTTAAAATTCTGGAGAACTAAAAAAGCAAGGGAAAATTATATGTGGTTCTAATTAAATGAATGTTTATGTAGACTTTTTATTTTATGTAAGTTTCAGTCAAGCCATATTATCTTATCAATTACTATTTTGATGTGCACGATCTTTTTTCATAGAGATTAATCAGACATAGGTATCTATAATGGTAGCATACTTTTTTTTTGAAAAATTTGCCGGTGTGATCTCAGCTTCTTAAATTTTTAATCAGACATAGTGCTATTTCAGTTTTGAATATAGTATTGTTAGGAATTTTACTGTCTTCATAGCTTCCTGAAATAAAGCCATGAAATGTTAAGGTCTTTCGGAGCTATGCAATTATATTTCTAACTGATATGCTTATTATTGAAGTTAGCTGATGCGTGATGCCAGCTGCTTACACTAGATATCTACTAATGCACTACAAGAGTGCAATGTGCAGTAGGAGAACTATGATCCAAACACAAGGCACTGCTTGTATGGATTATACGGACTAACTAAATATTTGAATAATTTTCTACATCACTAATCTTCTAATTGTTCTCTTTTTGTGTCTCTTTTACACACTGAATATTAGTACAGGATGCGTACCAAATAATGCTCGCTTTGGCATCAAATGAACTTCACTTTTCGATTTTGCGTGAAGTCTATTAATCCATCCTCGGTGTCAACTCCTGGATTCATCCATACTATGATGGTTTTTGGCAAACCACATTTATTTAACCGCATTTAGCAAGCAACAATGTATTGATGTTAAATGTAGTTGCAGAATTTTGTAAATGTTGAGTTCAGGATACTCCTTTTGTTAACTTGAACAAGTGTGAACCGTTCAAAAATATAGATTCCTCAAGAAAATGTAGAGGATGGTTTCCACGAGTATCTGAAACAACTCCTAGGGATAGTCTCCCAAGAAACCTTATCAGGTTTGTTCCTCTGAGATGATAACAGGGTCTTTCTAGTTTTGAATTTTTTATAACACCACCTTCTTGCAGTTTTTTATCATAATATGGGTTCAAAGGGAGTACCTGGAGCTTGATTTGAGGATACCAAACCCAGTTGTCAAAACAGATATCGAGAAGCTTATAGATAATTTCATATTTATTTGTTTCTTAATAGAAAATGACTTCATTCCAGATATTCAATTTGCTACCAAAAACTCATAGATGATTTCATATTTATGTTTTGATGCACTTCTGTTGCTACCAAAAATAGTTAAAAGACAGGCATGCTGCATATCTTAAAGTTTCAGGGTTGGAAAAGTTTCTTAAGATATCAAGAAGCTTCAGACCTGATTCATCTTTTTATGTTTTAGTCATTCTTAGGTACATGGAACCCATTGAAAATCATGGTTGCCGCACACTATTTAAAGACTTGACAAACCAGATCAACGAAGGTAACTACCGGTCCTTTTAAATATAATATCAATGCTTTGTAATGTAAGTAAATGGTATTAATTAGTCTTTTTGACTTTTAAAAGTCTACAACACCTTCTTTTTTTATACAATAAAAAGAGGCTAGAGCGCACAGATAATGTACTATTTGCACACATGCATGGAACATAAATAAATTATATGACCCTAAAATACAGCGCCACCACTGCAGAAAGTTTCCTTTACATGTCGATTGCCTTTTTAGGCAACTTAAAAATCTACTTCTTACTATGGCAAGAAAAATTCTTTTGAGGGATTTTACATGTCGATTGCCTTTTTAGCAGTTTATTAATATTCCCTTATGAGCTGTGGAGCATACGTTTCATTCTTCATAATACCATGTGCATCTTCTTAACAGGTGTCTGGATGGAGTGGACTGTGAAACGTATAAGCCCACAATATTTGGTGCCCTTGCCACTTGAACAACATGTTTTTGTTTAACTGGCTTTTGTTTCTTGATATTGCAATCAATTAGGTAATTATTTTCTATTGATTACTGGCAAGACAATTATCAAGCCAAACATAACTCACTCCTTGATTACACTAATTAGTATTAGTTAGTTATGAGATCAGTAAGTCATATTAGCTTATGGCCCTTCCATCTTTGCGAAAGTGCTCCGCTTATGCCGTCCCTGTTTCTTAATCTTAGTTGTTTTCTGAAGGTAATGAAGATCAAAGAGTAGAACAGAGAGGGCTGGCTCTTAGATGTAACATGTAATCTATGTGCATTTTCATAAATGTGTCTGCTGATTCCGATGGCTCTTTGTTTTTTGAAACCTGACATGGTTTCTGTAGTCCAAGGGAGGTATTCTACTTCGACATTGCTTGGTGCTTGGAAACTCCCAACAGGATTTATTCATATAAGGATGTAATTCCATAAATTTAATCTTTTTTCACTGCCATTGATCAACTTCATGCTGTGTTTCATATTTCTTGTTGCAATCCTAGCAGTATCTGGAACAATAATATTGTAAATTTGTGATTGTTTGCTGCTATAGTAAGCTCTACAAGTAATGCAGACATAAACAACTGTTAAATTCTGTTTGATGTTGTGATAAATAATGACAAGTAGGTTATCCTTTCATTTATTGATGGTTAGAAATAAGCAACCTTCTGTTACATGAGTGGCAAGCTTCTTATGTTGCTTCGTTGATACATTCTTTTCAATTATGCATGTCATAACCTTGTTTAATTTTTCTTCAAGAAGCTGTATTAGTGTTTGATAATAATTGACTAAATAGAATCACAACAATGCCACATTTCGTGTCTTTTGAAGCTGGCCGCGCCGCCGCCGCCCGCGCCCGCCCGTGCGATCTCCTCCCCGCTCTCCTCCAATCCTCCCCACAGCACCCCTCCGCCGACCGCCCTCACCAACACCTGCGACCTCCACGTGACCAGGGAGCCGGACCGCCGCCACACCGTCGCTCCCGGCTCCTGGTACTCGCCGACCACCAGCATCCACGTCGGTGTCCATATCTGCATCCCTGATCCGGCTCGCCCGCATCTGCGTCGCCAGATCTTCATCGGGCCCTTCACCGGCGATGAAGACCCGCTGCAGCAGAAGCCGAGAGGGCGCCCAGCGTCCCCTCCTCCCCCCAAATCCGGCTCGTGTCTTTACCTCCGCTCCTGCCACACTTCCACCTCCCTCCCGTCCTGCAAGGAGCACCACCAGGTGCGCCAATCCCTTCTCTTCCCTTCCTGCTGTGCGAAACCGAGCACCTAAACCCTACCTAACTTCGATCTAATTACATGTGTGTACATGTATTATGCCTGCTAACTTCGATCCCTTTCAAAGGTTATCATGAGGATTCTAAGTATTGTGTATATTTCTTTGCACTGTTTCTCAAGAGGATTTTACAAATTTTGCTTTTTGATTAACTGTAACTTTAACGTTGATATTTAATTTTTACAGTATTGTTATCTTATCGTGCGATCCGTATGTTTTTAGTATAAATTGTTAGTTATCCCGTAGCAACGCACGGGACACGCTATCTAGTATAGCATATGAAGCCAAGGACCGTGCTAGCTTCTGTACAGCTCAAGCTACACAGATGCCTGAAAGAACCACAGAACAAAACGGAAGAAAAAAAGGCTTCCGTTTGCTCTGAAGCATATGCAACAACAGCCTCCTTTAAAATCATGACTACGAACGACTACTCTGAACCGCGTCACTCAATTTGCACACTATCATCCGCGATGACAACGTCGACTGACAGTCCGGACATCACAATGTCGCTGGCAAGGCTCCCTTTGAGCTGCTCGACGCTTTGCCCCAGGACGATCCTGCAGGTGCTCCAGTCGTCGGCCGCTATCTCAACTCCCATGTAGGTCAAGTGGTCAGAAGCGCTCCAGAGCAGCGCAAACACGCTCCTGTAGGAGGAAAGGCAAAAGCAAAACAGAGAGCCCTATGATGTATAAGGATAAGTGTTGAGCTAGCTAGGCAGCAACAAACTGAAGCTACCAGTTCCCTTCCCACCTGCAACAGTTTGGGTCTTCACCGCTGCCATCGCAGACTTGATAGGTTGTGTTGCCATCGACTTCATGTTCCCACACCTAATAACACACATGTAAAGAGTTCAGGATGACGTTGCAAAGATGTGTATATGTTTTCATCAGTAAGTAAACACTTCACAATTTAGCTCAGGTAAGATTCAAGACAAAATAACACATAGCCACATACTACAGGTTCTTCAAGTGAGCTCAACAGCGTGACAAATTAATCCACTGAGAAACAAAGAATGACAGTTTGCAACAATTTGTTAAAGAACTGAAAGATTACTTGTTTTTATTGTGTTAACATATTATGAGGATGTTCATAGTATTTCGGAAGCAATTGGTGTTCACTCAAATTCACATGCTGCCAAGCAAATAGTCGCGGAGTTCAACTTTTTAGTTCAATCCGGAGAAGATAAGAACATCAATGAGAGAATTTGGAGAAGTGTTTAGTACTCAGCACAGTGCATTTCATAGGTTTGTTCAGGAGCATACCTCTCTGGGGAAGTGCTTGTACGTCAGTTGTGGGAGGAAGAAGAAATAAGGCGGCAGATGAGGTACAATATCACGTTCATGTGTCATTCGGAATGTGTTTGGCACATACTTGGCGAAGTAGGAGGCAAAAGCAGCATTACCAACACGCGGTTGCCCAAAAGTCATCAGATGAACATTGTTAATTCCAAAGCTCATCTGTAAATGAGGGACGCGTTTCAGAGATCATGGAGGGAAAAAAAACATTCCATGCCACCGATGGTAACCTCTTGTGCAGTAAAGATGGAACCTTGTGCAAAGAAATATATATTCAGTATCTGGGGGTCACTTACGGCAAGATCAAGGGCACAAAAAGAAGCTATTGCTCCACCCATCGAATGCCCTGTTACAATTATGTCACTATGTCCATGTAGCTTCCTTGCCTTGCGAACAGCATTCGTGATGGTTGAACGTAAAACTGTATTATTGTAAGAAGAGTAAAACCCAATGTGGACCTTTAACCATAGGAGAAATCTCATCAGGTAAAAAAAAACTGGAGGAAAGTTAAGCCATGTCTTACTGTTGAAAAGAGAAGTAAAATTACATCAGATGGTTAATGCCACAAACCTTAGCATTGGGCATGTTTGGATCATTAAGATTAACCTGCTTCCATATTATGTCCTTAATCCAATTCTGTACGCTGATCAGGAAATTTAAGAAGTGGGATATCATGAGATGGCAACTCCAAGAAATTAAAAAAAAAGATAAGTACAAGTTTGCAAATTATTTCAGAACCTGTTCTCTTGAGTTCCCCTGATTGAAACAATGATAGCATTGAGATTGTGATCAACACCGACGAATGCCTGCGACATAGATTGTTGAATCACGAGTAGCATTGTTTTTTTTAGTTAAAAGAAATTTGATAATAAAGCACTTATAACTTATGAGGGGAAGGAAGTAGCGTAGAGACCTGCAAACAATTCTGGACATCAACAATTATACAAGTCATCTCAAAGCCCTGTTTTGTAAAAAATAGGTAACCATGGCAAAGTCAGTGAAAAAACGTATCTTTCATCTTTGATGTACTTCAACTGAAACAGATCACATTGAACTCTTCACTAAACACCATACTCCTAGATAATCTTACTCGAGTCAAGTCATTGCATCTTGAGCATGTCCATGTATATAGAGCCGTCAGATCTGTCATATATACCTGTGTACCAGAAAAAAAAAATGGGCATCTCTTTATTTTGAGAACATTAAAATATAAAGTGAAAATTTGAAATTAAATGAATGATAATAATAAATTAAAAAAATAAAATGTGTAACTGGCTGACTCTTAGGAAAAAGATGGGGGAAATGATATACAAAAAACTAGTACTAGTATATATGGCACATTAAGCTAAAATGAAGAGGGGTTGAAATAACTTACAGCTGCAGCATATTCCACAACAGCCTTGGCCAGAGTATAGTTAAAAACAAAACTCCGCCCATTGTTGTTGGCATCGGGTTCTGTGATAATTAGAGCAGTTGGTTCACACAAGGCAGTGAAGAAACTCCAAAGCATTTCTTACTTATCTTTAATTAACGTTAACACACAGTAGCAAGATACGACTGGGAAAAAGCAGAAAGGCAAATGGGGAATCCGGGAATGGAAACCCCCAATCTGGGAGCAAAAAAACAAATCAGAGCCCGGCCGGAGCGCATGGATTCCGCTGGGCTTCCACAGGAATCTGACACGAGTGAGACGAATCGAAGTACCTCTCCTTGCTCCTCCAGGAGGAGCGGTCGACAGGAGCAAGAACGCCACAGCAGCAGCCGCAGCCGCTTTGCCGGTCCATCTCCACCCATCCATGTGGACAGGAACCCAAAACTGGCAAACTGCAGAGCAAGAAGCTACTAGGCTGGAGGAACAAAGGGAAGGGGAGAGGTGGAACGCGAGTGTGAAAGTGAGATTGATGGTTACCCCGAGGCAGAGGAAGAGGAAGGGAAATCGAAACAGGAAATCCTCGTCCGCTCGCTCCGTAGTCGTTGTTGCCCGGTTCATGAGCGGGGACAGCGACAGGACTGAGGACTGAACCTGTGTGGTCACTGTCAGACTGTAATGGCGCGCGGGGGCGTCTTGACGATTCCTGGACCAGGGGCTCCCCCGCTTCCAGGACCCGCGACGAGGAATCGAGTGATCTGGGAAAGTGTGGCGCCTTCCCGCAGCGCCCTTCTCGCCTATGGGTCTCGGGCGGCCCAACTGCCCAAGGAACTAAACGGGCTAAGCCGTCTACCATGGGCCGAGAAACGAAAAGGAAAATTTGCTACTACCAGGTCTCCCGCTATTCAGTTCTGCTCAAAAAAAAAAAAGGTCCCGCTATTCAGTTGTTACCGCAGCATCCTCTCAAAAAAAAAAAAAAAAAAGCGCAGCAGATAGATTGGAGAAGATAGGAGTGGAATTGGGAACGGTAGTATTCAGATGTAGGATTAAGGTTCAGACTTGTTTCGTTCTTACTCCGACAACCCCTTCTCCAACGACACCAACAGACCAGACCGTTACATTACAATTTGCAAGGCCTGCTGGCCCGCTCAGCGTGTGAAGCGTAACTTATTTGAAAGTTCATCTTGTCTCTCTAAACAATTACGATATCTTATCCTTAAACTCTTAAAACCGTTCAAATTACCCCTCCTATCGTGGTTTGGAGTGGTTTTAAAAGTGATTTTATCTTTTTTATTACAAATTTCGATAAATACACGATAAACGTTTTAAACCACAGAAAATGTCTCTATGCTTTTAAATTTTTCAAAAAAAGAAGAAGAGATAGACTTTGATACTCTAGACCCAAATAAAATGTTTAGACCTCATAAAAATATATCTAGATGCTTCAAAACTAGATTTAGCTCTAGAAAAATAGAAAAAATGTCCAAAAAATATAGTAAATTTCCAAAACATTCTAATTGGCGTCTAAACATGTTTAAGCTTACCACATAATTGTATCATCATGAATGCGCTAAAATCCACTTAGGGGCCTAGATGCACTTTCAACTTTAAACTAGAATTATGTCTCCATTTGAAATCCAGTTTCGTCCTATTCAACTTATTTCAGATCCTTAACTTATTCTCTATCTATTTTAGCCACTCTTGATCTAACTTGTTTGGATATCTTCTTATGTGTGCTGATGTGCACCAAAACTATTCTCAACTCCAACATTGATCAAGCTGCTAGTCTAGACCCTCTTCCTCTCCCCCTTCACCTCTTAATAGTATGTCCAAAGATATAAACATAAGTCCTAACATTACGTGTAAGTGCTCGTAGCACAAAGTAATACACTTTGACACTATCGTGTCTTTACCCTTCAGATAATATTCTTGGGACATATGCCGAATCCAATAAGGAATTATACATAGAGGGGTCAGTTAGAGAAGTTCAACATATGCGAACTGAGAATAGTTCCGTTTGATTTTTGCATGGAATTTGACCACCCGAGTTAGTCATCGATGTAGTTGCTCCTATTTTTTCTGAATTTATTCCAGTATTTGATGATTTAACAATGCTATTCCTCTCGTGTTAGGCGACCATCGACAACAAGACACATGTGCTAACTCATAAATCTTGAAATCAACCATCTTAGTATTTATAAGATGCTCATAGTGTGCATGTATATGAGCATGTGCGTCTGAAATACGATCTACAAAGTCGACATATAATAATACTATCGTTCAACAAGCTTGATGATAATAAAGTTTATTGATGGCCACCGAATTGTTATTACTAATCAAGTATGCGTTCAACAAAATTGTAAAATATAATAAAATATAAGTATACAAGTAGTAAAGGCTAATTTTATTAAATGTGTCCTAATATAGTAGGCAAACAAATTTAGCTGAATAAAACTATTTTATTCTAGTTGTGTTTTGTGTAATTTTGTTGTCTAAAACCATCAAATAAATAAATACAACAATTTTATGCTATATCTCTCTTAATACAAATGTAGATTATTAATAAATAATTATGAAGTAAATATTTTTGTTGTGCTTAGGAGGGGGCCATGCCCCCCTTGGCTCCACCTCTATCTTAAACATAATGGCTCCATCTCTTCATAAACATAGTCAAATGGGTCTTAACTTGTAGGTTTAATCGAGATAAATATAATGGTGGAAATGGATCATTAATTAGACAAACAGTTTAGAAGATATAATTGCTTCAAACTTAAAACCAAGTAAAAAGACGCACTTTGTTGTAACCAATCACAACTCACTTGCCGGTGACAGGCGCTCAAGCCAAAATGGAGCGGTCCGTGTGAAAGCTAGCCAACAGACACGGATACCGTGCAGCCCCTATTTCGTGCATGCAATGAAAAATACAAAACAATCCATGTGTCCCCAATCAAGAAAAGATGGTAGCGAATTTCAAAAAAAAGTGGTAGCTACCACACCCTGGTGGCCAACTATCCCCCGTTCCACATAATTCACACTCATATATGCATATAGAAATACTATATATATGCGTATAACAACAATTTTATACTATATCTCTCTTAATACAAATGTAGGGGCGGCTTGTCCCTTGGCTCCTCTCTCTTGCCGAGGAGGGAAGATAACCACGTGATCTAAATGTAACTAGCCCTTTGTCATTATCCTTTGTCATTATCCCTGCAAGATATAGTTAGCCACATATGCTTTAGATTCATCAATCACCGAAACCCGAGATAGTTCTTTCTTCCCACGGTGTAGCCATGCTTTAAACAATCTTTTAAATTTTGTACCTTTTATCGGTTAAATCTTTCTAGAATTCACAACAAACCTGGCAGGACAGAAAAAACAAAATTACAACAAACTATAAATGTGGACCTACGTTTTCACGTGAAGTTAAGTTTCTTCTTTATTACGTCAAAATGCACGCGAAAATCGGAAGCCTCTGTCATTCTCAGCTTAGAAAGAGAGATTGGATTTGAACTAATAAGTATTATGCACTCCAACGAAATACCACTCGTCCAAGTTAGTAATTTCCAATGTCCTACAAGTAGTTTTTCTGTCCAAATATGGTATCACATGATAGTTTTAGTCGTGGTACAAATGCGTCCAGAGTCGGACAATCTTCCGATCTGCAATAACAGTGTACGTACATACACATACTCTAACTCTGCATATAACGAAATTATGCAGTTCATCTTGGACTGTATAAAAATGCTACTGCTATAAATAGCAATGTGTGTGTGTAGGTGTAGCTGGGTATCTTGGCTGCCGATTCGTCGCATCCATGGACGGATGAGCCTTCCAAATGTGGCTACGGGAGGACAGGGGGAGCCACCCGGCAGGTGCTGTGGGACTGGCAGTGGCAGCACTTGTGGCCCGCCACGCCGGATAAGACCTGCGTTGTGTCCCTGCAGTCGTTGCACACGATCCAGCCCTGCACCAACACCACCACACACACACACAAGCATGAGCCATCATCCATCAGCATGGCATTGGAATGGGCACTGATACGGCATCGATCGGATCTTGCTGCCGAGTTGCGTCTGGGCATCTCTGCTCTGCAGCCGTTTCTAGGTTTTCTCTCTGAATTTGAGCCAGTTACTTTACTTATCAGCCTTTTTTTTAGTATCTGATGAATCTTGTTGTGGTTATAAAATGCCCTGAATTTATACGAGAGGATACTTGGCTCTCCAGAAGAGTTGAACAGAATTGGGTCCAGAGATTTCGGATAGAGAAGGATGGTTGGGTGTGGGTCATATCAGCTTCGGCAGTTAGGCACTGACCTTTCCCATGTAGAAGTAGCTTGCCTCCATCTGCAGAGTTTGAAAGAAACAAACCACTTTCAGTACTCAGACAACCTGTGCCACGTGTTGTTGAAACAATCATCTACAATTGTCAATTGTTATGATCTATCTAAACCAATTTTCTCAACATATCATTTCAACTGCTGTGCCTGTGCTTGTTCTGGACTCTGCCACTCTGGAGAGGGTTAGTGTCGCATTCCAGACTAGAAACCAGAGCATTTTCTTGCAGCCAATCAAAAGACTCTAGACGCCAATCTGAACACGCTAAGAAGCTTTAAGTGCCGAGAGTGAGCCAGAGATTCGCGTAATACCTCTGCGTCCAGGGCCTTGAAGAACTTGTCCATGTCAAAGATGGACGTCGCGCATATGGGACACGAGAACCTACACATGGATAGCGTTGTTATCCATCCAATGAAGAAGAAGAACAAGGTCACACGAAACGAGAGAGACGCCGACCTGGAGCCAGCAACAGCAAAAGCAGGGCAGGCATGGGCGCTTACTTGTCGTGCTTCAACATCTCGTGGAAGCACTGCAGGTGCATGGTGTGGCCACACCGGAGCACCGACGTCTCCCTCAGCGAATCAAACATGTACTGCCTTGCAACAACAGCAAAGGTTCCAAATGATGAGCAAGCAGAGGCGTCCGTTTCAGCGGAGCAGAAAGAAGAGAAGAAGGCACACCTCGTAGCAGATGGGGCAGTTGTTCTTCATCGAGTTCTCGATGCAGCAGTGCTTGTCGCGCAGGGTCGTCGAGTAGCAGGATCCTGCGTGACATGATGACGGAAACGCAAATAATCAGAACATCCTCGAATTGGACGGTCGTGAAACACAATGTGTATTTATATTACCACACTTTTGGCAGTGGAAGAAGTTCTCCTTTCCTCCAACTCTGTTCAAATAAATGGATCACAGTTTCAGTCAGCTTTACTTTACTTAGTAACTTCCAAACGAGAGTGATAGTTTCAGAGGTTCCTAGTAAAATTGCGATTTAAAGGTTCACTGCAAAGTGTGCCACCAACGAAGAAAAGAAGATTGCAGGTTGCATATTGATTCAGATCGTGCAATGGGAAAAAGGGGAGGTGCACACACC